ATTTTTTTTACATTTCACAAACACAGTCTTTGCGTCAGGGATTATTTTTTCTTTGTTTGCTACTTAATTGTGTAACGGAGCAAGCGTACTCGCGGGTTCCTAAACCCACTGGAATAGAACTAACTGGTAAGTGTGTTCACGGAAGCCTCGCATTTCGCGTGGGTAGTATCTGATTCACGATCATGTGCCATTGTTGTGTATCTCCTATGCTTGCCCTAATCGGACGAGAGTCGCGCGGAGGCGAACCACAAGGATCTGCGTCTAAATAAAATTACCTGAGTGTTTGTACTTTGTTCCTCTTGGTGTACAAAATTATATTGATTTTTTTTCCATTGCCAATTAGTTGGTCTGACGAAAGAAAAATTCATATCCCTTGAAAAATTATTTTCCATTTATTATTATTTTTTTTCTGCTTTCGAGACATCAATTTCACGAGGCTTATAATAAATGAGCTTGTTGAAAAAAATTATTTCAACTTCTTTATGAATTATTTATCGACTAATCATTCAGATAAAATGAAACAAAGCATGAATGATTTGTCAAAATGATAAATTCTAACAGAAATTTGAATTTATAATTAAATTATAAATCGTTTAGCATGGATTTATGATTTTGATAAACTATTATTCATAAAGAATAATAATACATTAATATAATCTCTGCAAATCTTTCCAGTAATTTATTTAATATGCTATCTAGATAAAAGAAAATTTCAATCATTACATAAAATGTATAAGGAATAAAATAAAAATAATGTTACATACTAGTCACCATGGTTGCAACGTAACACATAAAAATCTTAGAAAAACATAAATAAACAGCAATGGAAACTAGTAATCTATTAAAAGACAAATATTTCAAGTAGAATTGCATAACGAAAACTACGTAGCAGCATTCCAGACATTTATTTAATCGATTGGAAATTTGCCATCTTCAATTTATATGCGAAGAATCTGGTTAGAAGTCACCTTGACGGTGAGAAGAGAGTGTAGGTATTGTTGGAGTGAACGAATTTAGTTGATCTGTAGAAAAGACTGTTGAGACTCTTATTGCAAGTATCGAAGAAGGTGTTTCATGCCAGTCTTGTCGCGTTGCGATCGACTATTCTACACAGACATGACAAGAGGGCGGATGACAGTCAACGATCAGAGGAGAGGACAACGAAGCTGCATACGTAGAAAACCTACATGTCAGTAATGTCGAACGCCTCGTTTGATCTTTCACTGGTACGGGTGGCGGCATGCTTTCGTATATAGCAGCTGCACTGACGACGTAGCTAAAGATCTAGAGAGGCTTCTGAGAGGATTCACGTTGATCTTTGATACTCACGACAGCCCGCGCTTGAGTTCCTTACCAGAGGAATGAAACTTACTAGACAACGTCTCTGATGTCCAGCAGACCAACAAGCAATGATCGATCATGTTTAATTCCATCATCATTTTTTCTTTTCTACAAGGGGGAAAATTTATTTAAAATTATTATTCCTTCAGGTTCGTTGTTCTAACACTTTTTCAGTAGCTAGTGCATTACGTGCATCAAACGATTTGCATAAAATAGAAAGAGACTTAAAAAAAACAAAAAACAAACTATCAAAGTCTTACGATATTCTTCCATGAGCCGCACGCAATTTACTTACATGTCACGTAATCGTTATTTATTGTAATCCGTAATTTTTTTTTACAAGAAATTAGCATGTAAAATTACCAGGATTTTAAGCTGCAAGTCTTGACTTAGAGGAAGGTATATTGAACATCTAGTATTATGAGAGGAATACAAGAGAGAAGCCAGGGGAATGTTAATAAAAGAAGAAGAATAAGAAAAGATTAAAGAGGAGGTAGCTGTGTTATATACCATACGCATCGAGCAACTTACACGGCGGTCAAAGTACTGGTATGATTGTCATGACACGTTGACAAGTAGTATTTACACCTGATCGTGTAACTTGAAGATGACGAGTCGCAAGTAGGGTAAAAAAGTGCTTCATTTACATGTCAGCTGGTGCTTAAACGAATACCGAGAAAAAATGCATATGCAAGACAGAGAGAGGTAAGAGGAACGATTTGGATCGGCATATTCTGGTGTAGCCGTCCTTGAAAGTGAAATTCCTCTGAATAATTTCTGAGAATCCCTTGCGGCATCATACAAGTTAATTTTGATTTGCAAAAAAATAAGTCAAGAAAAAAATACGTTGTTCAAATGGAAGAGTATAAAGCGTTTGTTGTAATAGTAGGTAGTTTAATTAATAAATTAATTAATTAATTGTGTTAATAATAATCTCTGGTATATATTTAAGTATCAATTTGCTCGCAAAGATGGTAATTGTACGCGTGTGCACCGTGCGAGGAGGCAACAGAAATCAGTTGCGTAATGTGAAAGCCGCAAAAGGAATTCACTCTTACTTACGCTTAAAATCGACCCCCATCCCCGGATATAATGGGAACGATCTCTTGAATAACATATCTCATGCATATTGCAATAATATTTGGTAATATATAGCCTGATTGATTCGATCGATAATCGTTTTTTTTTTTTGGCTATTAATTTTAAAATGGATAAGATATATTCATTTTATTCACGTCATTAAAATTATTGAAAAGAAATTTGACAAGCGTACGCTACGGCATTTCTTATCGAAGTTAATTTGCTTCCACGATTTCTCGACGCTGCAAACGAACCGATCGACCATTTCCGAGAGGTTGTTTATCACTTGACGCATTGCACGTTCGCGCAATTCCGCACTTCAGACATATGAGGATGAGAATTATCCTTCTGATTTCCTGGATAGACTAGGATTTTTCTTTTTTTTTGTTGCATTCGTTTAATTATTGACATTAAATTCAATTAACTTGATACTCTTATTCAGAATGTATTGACGGATAATAATTATATATAATAGCTCACTGTAAACCTCCCTTTATCGCGATGGTAGCTCTGGTTGCGGTTGAGTAACGGATCAAACCCACAATACCAAGTGTCTAAGTTCTATCTTGTAGCTTCCTGTAACTTCTTCATAAATTCCGTGAGTGTTTGTGATGTTTAATTCTTTGATGCGTTGGCTTTCTCATGGGCTACGGTAAAAAATTCTTCATTTTCTTTTTTGAATCAGAAAAAAATCATTAATGAAGAATGTCAATTAAAATTATTGGTTCATGAATAATCTGCTGTTGAAGAAGAAAAAATTCTAAACAATTAATAACCGTTCTGCTATAAAAATATTTCTTGTAACATTGTCAACTGAGTAATTATCCTCTTTTTCTGAAAATTCTTCAAAAGCCACGTAAGCCATTAAAATTATACCCACTTAATCAACAGAAAAAATTCAATAAGCTACCAAGCCACGTGCAATTCTTCGTGAGTAATCGATTCAATCGCAATTAAAACTCGAAGGATCAATGCCAGAACAAGAGAAATGAAGAAATGACGAAATACTTTATTCATATATGGACCTAAAAATCCAAAAAATTCCTTAGTGGATCTTCAACACTCTCAAACTTTAGGTCTTCCATCAAAAAGGAAATACCAAATCCTAATTAAAATCCCCTGATGGCAGCTGTCGGCCGGTAGCAGTGTTATCGACAAACTTGGTAAAACCAATAACTAATAGTAGGTCGGCCACGTGTTTGTATTATTATCACCAGTAATTATCTTCAGCCAATGAGAAGTATGTAGCATGCTCCAGAGGTTTCACGATTTTTTTCAGTGCTCTAATCTACTGTTGCCGACATTTTCCACGACGACCGTAACTACAACACGGCTTGAAACACATCATGCTGGTCTCGTGCCCAAGCAATTTAGTTTTTTTTATGATTCAACATCAACCCTACATCGCGTATAAAATGTCTTAATTGAAATTGCGGAAGTTCAAGTATTAAAGGGCACTTTGGTCACGTCATGGCAAGTTTAACGGCGCGTGAAAAGGAAATAATTTGTGATCGTAAACGTCGATATATCGGTAGATCACTCTCGAGTCCGTTATATAGGTCCAATATGTGCTGGAGTCCGATTTCAGATGACGATTACTGAGAAAAGTTGAAATAAAAAATTTTTTACGGCAAATTACGATCCAGTGCGTGTGTGAATGCGACTGTGTCGATAGAACCATGCTGTTAGTCAAGACGAGAAGGATATTGCAGTGGACCAGGAGAAGGAAATTACACTGTTCAAGCACATGATTATATATCCAGACAATTATGATCTAATCGAGAGAAAATATATTACGAGTTATTTATGAATTTGTCGACTTGAATTTCCAACAGTTCTTTAGCTAATTTATGGATTTTGGGATAAATAAAATAATCATTCACCCATTACTTATACTTTTGTACTCATTCGATATTTAAGCGATAATCCACTCGATTATTTATGCATATTAAGTTACTGGAAATCCTGCAAGTTATTAAATTGTTGCAAAAGCCGTTGAATCACTGAATTTATTGAATTAATTAAACTACGAGAAAAAAAAACAAATAATTCTTTTTTATTACAACAACCATTAACTGCTCAGAAGTTGTAATAAATAAAAATTACAACAGAAATGATGAGAAAATTAATTTAAAAGAAAAAATAATCTTATCACCAAAGCGATAAAGAAAATTTATTTGCTATTACGTAGATTTAAAATTCATCTTAAGAATTAATCTGGACCGTAAAAAAGATCGATAAATACCCAAAAATGGATAAATAAGCCTTTGAATGAATATTTAATTTCTTGAATAATTTAATGCCATAAATAGAGTTAATCGAGAAAGATTGGCACAAAAAATGCGAAGGTAGGAATGATGTCACACGTACCTTCCCTGACCCACATGAGAGCGTTTGCACGAGAAAGTGAAAATACTAAGGCACGCAGAGCGTAGCAAATAAATAACAAGGATCTGAGATCTTTATGGCAATAGCCACTCGTCTTGGATTATTAACATTACATTCACACTTGTTTCACGCATTTATTTAACCTCTGGAAAGCTCATTTATAATGAAATTTTTTCTTGTTTCGTTTTCAGGTTGGTTCTCGGTGGTACCAAATAACAGCGGTTCCGGAAGTGCAAGGGCTTATAGAAAAATTGGTGCTCTAGTGAGAGCCGGTGTTCCGGCTTTTCTTCTAGCGAAACCTTTACGAGCTTATACTCTCACTCACTCCAAAATGGGTATGTATTCTTACGTATTTGTTTTCCCTAACGATAATTGTTTATTCAGGAATTCCAGATTGTAGATAAAACACGATATTTTATTAAAACATTTAAGAGATTTTGATATGCAGTAAGTAGAGAGATAATTTAATGTTAATATTTTTAAATGTATTTTTTCTGGGAATAGAGTCGAGGTTTAGAGAGAGAGAGAATATGCGCGAGAGAAAAATGAAAAATGATGCAAGTAAAATTGCGAATTAAACACAAATTTATTCGTTGGCTTGTCACTTTCCCACGAAGGTGAATTAACAACTGGATAACATAATTCGTCGCTATGTACTGCAATATAAATGGCACGCACCATGACGTACCGCAAACCGCGATTGGCACCCTGGCTAAACCTCGACGTGGACGTGGGTTTTAGTGTTTCAGTCATGCACTTTTATGTCGCTTTTACAGTGTTCTACCATGCTCTTTCTTCATAAACTCACTTCGTGAAGCTAAATACTCTTAAACTCAGCCGTTATGTTAAATACAACATCGCAGTTACACTAGAGTCGCTGGAAAATTTCATTTAAAATCCTTTTATTAACACTTATGGATAATATATTTTTGTGGGTTTCTAGGGGCATAATAAATCCTACTGGTTATTTACATTATTTTTATAATTGTTCCAAGCACATTTAATGATCCTTTAGAAATGTTTATTTGCAATAAAAAAAAAAATCAACGCAGCATGAGTGAAGAGAAATTCCCTATCAACTTGTAGTTCAGTCAAAAAAAATTATTGTTTATTATCTAATTAATTTTTTTTTCCTTAGAGTAATTTTTAGTTCATAAAAAGATACGCAAAAACGAAAATAATACCTATCTTTATGAATGATGTAAAAATGGATCATTATCTGAAAAAAGCATTTATAATTAAAACCCTTGAATCTGAATAACAACCCGTCATTTCCTTCCGTTCGCGAACGAAAAAAAGAAAAAAAAAAATACTTGGCAGAAAAAAATGTTATTTTTCCAAAGTTTCTTTAATCCAATTCCGTCAGTTATGTGCTAATTCACATCCTGCACGCGATGTATTAGAAAAGCAAAGACAAGAGTCTGAATATCTGCGATATAACATTTTCTCGAGTGCAGCGACTGGCCGTGACACGAATGTCAATGTGTCTGTTAACACAGCTTAGGTATATAGTTTGCACAGTCTTATGCGTTGAAACGTAGGCGAGTCGTGCGCGCACGTAACATAATAAGGCACGCGGCTCTCGGTGAAAGCCATGAGGCTCTCTCGGTGCTGTGTGACGTTATGCCATTGTATACTATAACGATTATGGTCTGATGGGATTTATACGTTTACTGGGGGTTATCCCTCGTACGATCAGTCGTATCGCCGTTATCGAGCTACAGCTATACAAACCTTCAAACGTGATTCCATCTTCTGTATTTATAGTCTTTATCATAAATATCATTTATTTCCATTGAATTGTATATAAATTTGTAATTAAATTCTGTAAACGTTGTAGAGAATGGCAATTTACGAGCACATTATACCAAGACTACTGTCAGAGCTGGTGAGGTTTTACGTTTGGCAGCAGTATTCCAGGACACACGAAGAGCTCCAGTATCCACCGGAGTAACCGGAGTGACGAGTGGAGCTTCAGAAAAGAATTCAAGGTCGTCGGAGAGAGATCAGTACGCCCAGTGTCTCGACTCTCAGGGTCATGAACTCTTTGCGCCTCTCTCGGCGAGAGGTGAATTCTATGCAACCTGTCAGAGTGGTAATCTTGACACCGGAAGTGATGCAGTCTTGTACAGGGTTCATCAGCTTGCTAAACGAGATTTACCTTTACGAGTAAGAACAAAAGATACATTGATGATATTTCTCTACTTTCTAATCAGACAATATTTTATTTTCAAATCTCTCGGGTCAATAGTCAGGATTGCATGATAAAACGGTTTCTAGTCAATTCACTGTACACTACTCCACCTTTCACTTAGATTCTATGATTCAGATCTATAATTAGATAATTACCATTAGCTGTCCTGACAAAGTAATAAATCTTTTTTTTTACTTCATTATACTTTTCAATCTACGAATCACTGTCGCAGTGTTATTTATGGTGATAATGTAAGTAAGAAATAAAACATGACAAAGACATTTCTAATGGAAAAACTACCTGTTTTGCGCTGGAAAAATATACGTTTTTTAATTATTCTATTGTCGTGCTGCACATTATGTCGTATTAAGTCGTTAGGAGACATAAAAACGGATTAATGTTTCATTATATTTCATAATATACCGTTTTGTTTATATGTTCATTATAAATTCATATTTCCTTCCATTTGATTGTTTATTTCAATTCTAATCCCTGATAAGTTGGAATAAATTTCAATAAATCATATTTCAACATGATTTTATTGACTCGATGAACTTCAAAATTTGATTATCTTAATTTTTAGGTACGATTAGTGGCTGGTCCATTACCGATACCACTACCAAGAGATTACAACGGTCTGATGCAACTGGAGCATGCAACAAAAGGACCGATAGTCTTAGGATGTGCAGTTCCACTAATACCAGAACGCCCACTACCAGGAACTGCAGTTCCTGAACTTCTAGAACTAGTAGCAACCGGTCCCGGTGCACCGAGAGTGAAACGAGCTCGACTAGGTTGTCCATCTGAAGCAAGGCTATTAGCATCTCCAAAAATGCAACGATTACTTTCCGCATGCCGGTAATATTTCTAGATAAATTTTTTTAATGAAGATAATTAAAGCTATTTATAGTTGTAAATAAAAAATAAAAAAAATATCAAAACAATTTCAGACGAGCGTTGGATCAAAGAGCAACTGAACCCCGCGTTGCACCACCAAAGCCAGTGAGTACTTGTATGCAATTAAAGGAGCTGAATTTAAAAGAGATAAAGTCTAAACCAGAAGCGAAGCCAATTTTACAGAGTTTAAAGGAAAGCTTGGAGCACATAAAGAAGACAACAATTCGAGATCGGAGTCATTCGAGAAGTAATGGAAGCACGAGTAATCACAGTTTCCTCGAGCGAATAACAAAGATAGCACACAGCAGTAGAAGTAGGAATCCTGCAAAGAAGTCGGCGTCATTCACCTTTGCAGTGCGACCGGAAATCGGCATGAGGTCACCGGAGCGTTACGCTAGTCTTGAATCGGATGCAAATGCATTGGGATCAAACGTGTGTATTGAGGGCGCTATAGTGCGGCCACAAGTGCAGAGATCGATATCAACAAGTGTCCTCGAGGTTCAGGATAGAAGTGACCTCGATCCTCCCTATTCAAAGGTCAGGGACTGCCTGACTCCGCTTCCACCGTCACCGCCGCCTAAAGTAGAAGATATCTACACTGAAATCTGCGAACCACCGGACAATAACCGTACTGGAAAAAATCAGTGTAGATCGCAAGAAACAAAATTACCACTACCGAGCAAGATCAGTACCAGAGAGAAAGACCGTGGTTACGTTAAACTAGCTTCCCATCCGGAAATCTCAGACTTGTCTAATGGCACAGAAGATGAAGAGAGTATTTACAATACTGTGTGCTAAAGATAATGGGAAAGGACTCGTTCTCATTTCATCATGTTACCAATGTGATTTACTTCCTCATTGGAACAGGTCAAGGCTGCTAGAAATGACTAATGTGCATGAAGATCACCAACGTTTCGTAATTGCTCCAGATCGATCAACATAACTGCAAGCCTTTTTTTATCAATTAAATTGTCATGGTCGACATCATCTTTTTCCTTACCTTTACGTCTTATATTAGTATTCTCCATGTAAATACGCTGATCTACAAGTTTACGCGTTGCGTGACTCGCACGATCCTATACCGTGGATATATGATTACGACACGTGTACTTGACTGTAATCTTAAACGCCCCATAAGAAGAATCTGTGGGGATCACGATGTATCGAGAGCCAAGTCTGTCTTCATGCCATTTTCTGCTTTTTCTAATAAATTCTTACATCAAATTTGCTAAAAAGCAATCATTGAAGGTAAAGTTATCAAGGTTTATCCCATCAATATCAATGGAAACTCTCATTCTCCATCATCTCTCTAACTCTAATCATTAATTTGTAACATTTGTATGTTGTGTAAATTCCAAGAAATTTGCGTAATAAATATCATATGAATATCAAATGATTTTTTTTCCTTTATTCTTTAGAAGTCTTTTGAGGTTTTACATTTATAATAGCATCATCCTACACAAGATACGTCTGTAGGGAATACCAAATTCAATTAACGCAGGTGACTGGTTTGACGATACCTCGGCCACAAAATTGCTGGTTGTCGCAAGCTAATCTGATCACTGATGGCGATTCGACGTTCCAAGGATTTCCAGTGACTATGCAACACGCCTGTAGTCATCAAAATATATAACTAATCCATAATCTTTTTATATATTCGAGTAATTTTGATTGCTTCTTCACTAAAATTCATCACTCTAGTCCGGACAATCTGCTCGTAAATCTTGAACTCTTATTTATTGAATTAATTTCTTAAGATTTTGAATAAATTTAACAGATTTCATTTCAAGATTCAACAATTAAAAAAATTACATAAATTATTTATCATAAATTTAAATCACATTCATAAGAATATAATTTATTGGTGGAATTGGAATTAAAAAAATTAATTCCTAGAAAATTTTACATCGAATTTTTTTTTTTTTTTTTAAGAAAACCTTGAAGATCTGGTCAATATGTATCGAGTCTTGTTAAAAAAATTTTGAACAAAGTCTTACAAAAGTTTAGTCGACGTTTAGGTAATTTCTATGAACCTCCTGATGCTTTGTTTAGCGAAAGAATAGTCAAGTCCTGCGGATCAGTTCTAAAGGACAATGATGATGGTGAATATGACAGATACATCATTTTTTGACAGCGCAACGAAAGAAAATGACAATGAATTGAGATGTGTGAAGAAAATTTTAAGAAAAAAGTGAGACGATGAAATAAGTAAAGTGTGATAGTATAAGTCGTTTGGATTGTCACGAGAATGAAAAAGAAAACAAGGTGAATGACGGTATCTTGCCCGCATAGCAAACGTTGTCCAGATACTGAACAAGAGAAAGTAAATAATCCATTGACTTTGATAAATGCGCCCGTGGATTCATCATGATGTCCGTTTTTGTCGTAACATACAATTGTACCACTATATTTGTAGACTACACAAGATAACATAGTTTATTTCAGCAAAACAAAAATCGTAAAAAATAATATAAAGAGAAATAAATAAAATTCCTGATAATCGAGAGAAATAGTTGTTGAAATTTTTCTGAATGTTTTCAAAATAAAAAAAATAACAGAAACAGAGAAAAGATATAATTTTGAAGCCGATAAATAATATCTAGTGAAACTGTCATCAAAGAACGTGAAAATAATTTTAAATTGAAGAAAAAATCTCGAGAATGAATTTATTAAAAATTCGAGAAGATACTAAAGTTGAAGAAGAATAATATAGTCACATACAAATATTTCTTGGTAGTGTCCCGTGTGCCCTTGGTCACGAATTAGAGAAAAAGACAGAGTTAGAGGGCCGCTGGCTGTAAGAGAGAATGCCGCGGCAAAGGGTCAGAGGGGTAGACGGGATTATTTGCATTTTAATTTGCATATTAAAACATGCCTCGTCGATCAATGGACCAGGCCAGCGAAATATGATACCACAAACTCCGCGCCCGTCGTATTAACGTTGTAGAGGTGAGTTACACGACCGCGAGGCAACCCGACGGCCATGAAATCGTTCACGCATGCCGATCTTGAAATATGCACCCGGGGATTGAGATTACCTGGCTCGATAGCGTTGTCTCGATCAGAGCTCTCGACCCATCGCACTATCTCGCCCCGTATTATTTGCCTCCTACATCTGCTCCAATGTATACTTTGAATCATATAACTATTTCATATCGATTGTAAATTGTTATAAAATTATTGACTCAGCCCTTTACTTTCTGACTTACGATATATTGGTTTAAACAATGTTATTCAACAGTTGTTATATAGAAAATATTTTTACATCCATTCTAATCATTTTCTTACCTACATATCTCCAGGATTTATTGTATTCTCAAGTCTTGGAATCAACACTGAGAGTTATTGGATAATAGATACCCTCATGGAATTTATTTTATCAAAGAATATATATATTTATATATATTATATTGAATGTTTAACTGAGCTTTTATTAAATAAATTATTTATAGGGACCATCTAGAATTTATTTAAATCTTTTCCATTATTATATTCAATAAAAATTCGATTTAATTCATAAATAATTAAGTGAAAAATTGATTAGACTTATTTAATAAATGATAGAAAAAATCAAACATTTCTTCTTTTTTTAAAATTAATAACCTCAATCATGAAAGATAATACACATTAATAATTATAATTTTTTCATTCTCCATTTAATAATATTAATTACTGCAAAGTTGAAATAAAAAACGAAAAAATTGAAAAAATAATAATTTTATAACAGTTCAAGTTCAAAGGAAAGTAGTAGCGGAAGTGTGCTCCATGGAGTTACCGCAGACACGAGTAAGGTGGAGAGATTGAAGATGTTGGTGTTACCTGCATGCAACTAGTTATTCTGCACGTGACAAGGTTGAGTCAAGTAAAGCACGAGGATCTCGTCTTGATCCTTTCCAAGAAACGCGATATGCCTCTGGATAAGCTAAACTAGACCTTTTCTATAAGCATGGCTACAGTTTCTCTCCATCATTATCGTTGTTTATGCCGTTAATATTAATGTACGAGAACGAGTACGAGAAGCTTCTCCCTTCTTGAGTCTTGAGACTCTGCCTTTTGCTTTAATGGAATAAGCGCAGCTGTGCGTATACCATGGGCTCGTAAAACATTAACTGCCCACAGGCCGAAGCACATGGTCTGCCAATCATCTTCCATTATTGTTCGAACTCCCGCGATGCCGTCACGACCCCAGAATGTCTCCGATTTTTATTATTCCCTACCTATCATCGACCCCAACTCCTCAGCATGTCTAGTAGAAGGAATTTTAACGGGAAAAATTTTGTCTAAAAATTCCTAGAGTTAATTATGATAGAATTTGAGTTAGAAATACATAATAACTTAATCCCTTTGGAATTTCAATTTATTTTAGATTATAATAAATTAAATGGATAAATAAATTGAATTAATTGAACGATTCTCTTTCGCTGCGTGATAAAAATAAAATACATAAAATCATTATTTTATTCTATTTCGAATGAGAATGAATATAATGCTATAAATATTGATAAAAACATTTTTCATAACAAAACATGGTTTGAATAATTAATAAATCAAAGGATCAATAAATAAACGACTTATTTAAAAGATAACTGAAAGGAGAAAAATTCATTACACGTAAAGAACTAATAAGCGAATAAAATTTCCCACTTCAATTATATATTCTTTATCATAAAACATTATCGAAGCTTTTTGTAGAAAAAGAAAAATACTCAATTCATATAAGACTATCATTTTAATCTTATCGTATGAATATTTGTTCTCAAAGGGAAAGATTGTTAAAAAATTGAATATAAAAGTAAATATAAAAATAGGAATAATGAACACCTAAAAAAATAATTGAACAGCTTTGCTTGAAGAATGTTGAAGTATTTAAATCTGTTAAAATAATAAAGCACTGTCCCATCTAAATAGTATATAAGAAGTGGGAAGAATAGTTGAATGCGATTGAAAGGAGTACACGGGGTTAAATGTAGAATAGAGTTATCTCACAGAGCAATCACATTCATAGTGTCTCCATTCAATGTATAGAGGTCCTATCATAATCTCTGTATGATGAACGATCACTGTTTATTCATGAATCAGAAGCGAAACGCCATTGAAAGAAACTCCCCACGCATAAGAGTTCATATTTTATAGTATGTATAAAACTGAATGTTATCATTAAGTACCTCTCAGATCATTTAATCCCATGCTGGAGTATTTTATGAAGTTAAAAAATAATTTAAAGCGTATAAAAATCTCAAAAGAAAAAATTAACCAAATTAACACTCCAAGTTATGAAGAGAGCTTATGCTTGCAATTCAGAACAAGTTTTTATGCCTGGTCTCAGTGAGATTATGAGCTCAAGAAGCGTCAAAGATTCCGCCATGACTTGAGGATGAGAAGTGCATGACTCTCGAAATTATAACTTCAACCTTGTAGTGATAATAAAAACATGGAGCATTTTATAGACTCCTTCAGGGGCTATTCCCATGAATCAGGTCGAAAAATTCATTTTAATTTTTTTCCTTCATATGTCATCTTATAACTCTGAAGTTGGAGTGGAAATTTCTTGAAAGAATGATTTGGTTTCATCAATTGGATTGAAAAAAAATTTTTCCTACATTTTTTGAAGTATTCAGAAGATCATTGTTATCATCAGATATTTTTTTCTAGCTTTCTTTGTTGATATTCTAGATGGTACATCATTTCTAGATTCAACATGAAGTTGATTCGTAACCAAAGAGCAATAACACGACCTAACAATTCCATTTCAATGTCTAGCATCATTGAAATATTAAAGATTCACTGGTTTACAAACAATTCATACTCATAAAGACCAGGGCATTCTGTAAAATGATAGACTAGAGTTTAGTGCGATGTGGAAGTTAGAATTGAATCGGCCGCAAGCTAGTTTTGCGGTTGTTCTTTCAGTTAGTGGGTGGATGTAAATTGGTGCTGAAAGGACCAAACAACCAGACAACACTCAAGAGTTTATCGAGTGTAGAATGGTAAAGCAACAGCCTGCAGTTGAACAGTGGCGCTGGTGGCGATGATGGTGGTACAGGTCCAGCTGAGGGTGGAGGAGAGGTACGTTGGCGTCGCTTGGAATGCCCGCGGACCACGAACGGTGCCGGTACGGCGGGATTACCTTTTACATCCTCCTCACTAGTCGTTTTACTTGAAGAAGAACAAACCGGCCGGTTTCATTCGCAAGGAATCTCGGCCTCTCTTTTTCTCAACAGTACTCTTTTACCATCTTCCATTCGTAAATTTTGGACTCATCACTAATATGGACATCTCAATCTTCAACTGCTCATTAAAGCAATAAGTAAAAAATTTAAAAAGAAATTGATAAAAAAATATGTAAGATTTATTGTATGACATTACGGAACTTTATGGGTGTTGTAAAAAAGA